CAACTTTGAAAAAATTGCAAGTATAGAGGTCTACCTGTTTGGCTTGTAATGTCAGAATTAGTATCAAAACAATAAAAAATCAAACAACTTGTTGCATTTATTTTAAATAAATAATTGAAAACCGCGATAATTGAATGAATGGTCAACACTTCTTTTCAAAATCATGTACTATATATCTCTAAAGGATTATTTCGCTACAAAAACTCTAGATTTTGTCGATGCATACGTTGAAATAAACATTTTAAAAACACCCGAATTTGAATATTTTCTGAACAATTTTTTTGTTATTGAAAAGAAGACACATACATAAACAAATAAAGATGACATATTAAGCCAGGAAAATAAAAAAATTAAAATCATATGGTATCATAGCCCTACCTTGATATCATTGTACCATGGTTTGTGGCATGGTAGAAGAATACTGACAGGTATTCTTCTAGCACCGACACACCTGCTGAGACAATGAACTGTCAAACCAATTTTGAAATTGAAAATTCTGAATGAAAAATTATACAAATTTCAAAAAATTATTGAAAAATACATATCATAACAACCTCCGATTGACGCCGGATAGAACATATACAAATCCATGGTACAATGATATCAAGGTAGGGCTATGATACCATATGATTTTAATTTTTTTATTTTCCTGGCTTAATATGTCATCTTTATTTGTTTATGTATGTGTCTTCTTTTCAATAACAAAAAAATTGTTCAGAAAATATTCAAATTCGGGTGTTTTTAAAATGTTTATTTCAACGTATGCATCGACAAAATCTAGAGTTTTTGTAGCGAAATAATCCTTTAGAGATGTATAGTACATGATTTTGAAAAGAAGTGTTGACCATTCATTTAATTATCGCGGTTTTCAATTATTTATTTAAAATAAATGCAACAAGTTGTTTGATTTTTTATTGTTTTGATACTAATTCTGACATTACAAGCCAAACAGGTAGACCTCTATACTTGCAATTTTTTCAAAGTTGGCCTACCTTCTCATTGTACCATGCCACAAACATTTCAATTCACAAGATCAGTTGAAAATTTGAATTGTTTTTAAATGTAAATAAACAAAGCCTTCTTTTTATTGTGACAGTTCATATGAAAGATTGTATTTGACAAACTCAGTTACAGAAAATGCGGTAGTGGGAATGCTTATTTGAAATGACTTTACCTTCATAATTGTACCATGGTTTTGAACAATAAACCCATGGTAAATTTTTTAGTGATCCCTTACTTAAAATATTTATATTCCACAGCAAAAAGTTGCTACTACTTTTGTCTCACATTTCCTATTCATTGGCTGGGTCGATCCATGTATGTATTTCTTGTTTTAAAAAGTAAAAACAAAATATTTTCCAAATCAAATAATCATTCCCATCTCTGCACTTTCTGTAATTAACCTTGTCAAATTTCAATGCATAAAAAACAGTTCCCAACTCTAATTTTGTGTGTATACAATAGATTTATGAATAAAGATTTTGACAATGAGATGTTGAATAATGCATAAATTTGAAAAAATTGTAAACAAATGATTACATGACTTTACCTTCTTAGTTCTACCATGATTAGAAGAACCTTACCTATGTTAACCACTTTTGGCATTGAATTTAAAGATTGAACAGTTTAACCATATTTATGAATTTACATTTTCAAAATAAGGAAAAATATCAAATAAATGAAAATAAACTTGTTTCATATAATTTTGAATAATCCTGACAGAAAGCTAGCATACCCTCAGGGCTGTATATCTGCAGTTTTACGAAGCTGTTCTACCTCCTTTTGTACCATGGGTAGATCCATATTTTATTCATTGTGCGAATTTTTTAATATAAATATAAAAAGGCTTACATTCTAATGAATCATGAAACTATGAAACTTCCATAATTCTGATTCACATTATGCGGTTTGCAATTAGAAGCCACAAATACTAAAATAGTTTATATAAAAACAACCATAATGAAGTAACATAATCACAACAGATTTTATATTTTAAAATAAAGCGCAACCACATGCAATATTTTGTGGAGATTGGACAATAAATTTAACTTTTAGCGATGCTTGGTAGCTTTTTGGTAATATTGATTCCTCAATACAGATTAGACCATATTTTTACAAATATTCTATTGACAGCTTCTCATTGTCAAAATTTATATTAATAAATCCATTCCATGTACATAAATCACAAATGGTCATATGACAAAGGACGGCTGCTGCCTGCTGTTGCTGTCAAAGTCCAATGTTTTGATTTAAAAACAATTTTAATAAAGGCCTCTGATATGACAACGCGTAAATATTTAATTTATGAAACATATTAAAATAAAAATTAAAATAAAAAAAAATTAAAACAATTTATAAAGGAGTAAAGATGAGAATGCATAAAATGTTTTTACTGGCTTAAGTCATCGGCTGGCTTCTTCGGAAAAAAAACAAAGGAGCTTATACTACGTTTATGTTGTATGGAATTTAGAAAGCCTAATCGGCTCAAATTGTCAATTACATTGCCTATACCTCAAATAATAAAGGTTAAGCCCAGAAAAAGCTTTAACGTAAAAATGCCTTTAGGGTCTTTTGTTCCTCTACGAAGAAGCCCGCCGATGACTTAAGCCAGTCAGAAAAGCGTTTTGAGTATTCTCACCTTAAGTTTTGCCGGGCCGTACCATTTTGAAGAAATACGGAAAATTAAAAAAAAGGAAAAAATAATTAAATAAAGAAATAATAATAAAAAAATTAAATCCGCTAAAAATTCTGTTAAAATCTTAAAAATAGGGAACTTTAAATACGAAATTTGAAAAAAAAAAATCCGGTGAACAATGTCGCTAAAACACCAAAATACCGAATATAGGAAGGTACCGTTATATGGGGGCTGTACGAAAACGTGGACCTGTATATGCAATTTCTATCATAGGCTGTAGTACCCATTGCGAACTTCAAATACGAAATTTGAAACAGAAATAAAGAACATGAAAATCATAAAAAATATCGAATATATAAAATATAAAAAATATGGTGGCTATACGATGACTTGGAATTGCATAAGCAATTTTTGGTCATAGAATGTAGTACCCATAAGGAACTTCAAATATGAAATTTGAAACAATTCCGGTAAATAATGTATCTAAAATAATCAAAATAGCAAGTATATGGAGGGACCGTCAAATGGGGGCTATACGATGACTTGGACTTGCATAAGCAATTTTTTTGTCATAGACTGTAGTACCTATTAGGAACTTCAAATACGAAATTTGAAACAATTCTGGTGAATAATGTCACAAGAATCATATAATATAGAGAGGTACCGTTATATATACAGTCAATTTTCCGCCACAGACTGCAGTACCCATTACGAACTATCATTAAGAAATTAGAAACTGTTCCAATGAACAATATCCCTAAAATCTTCAAAATATCGAATAGAGGAAGATACAGTTATATGGGGGCTATTACTAAACGTGGGCATATATAGCCCATTTTCGAAACCAATAATCCTGCAGACGAAACACACATTTGAGTAAAATTTGAATAACTTACTTCAATTCGTTCGGAAGCTAGAGTGATTTCCACAAACTCAAACTGATAGACGTTTACAAAGTACATAGGCGCCATCTATATTTCACGATAACAATATAACAAATTTAATATGAACGTAACATTTGTTTGACAACATATAAGATAAATCGTCCAACCTGTAAATGAAGTTCACAATAACACAATTCGACTTTGCGACATGAGCATACTGACGTATACTAATCATTAATTGCCTCTATCATGGTAGAATTAAGAAGGTAAAGTCATGCAATCACATGTTTACAATTTTTTTCAAAATTATTTAGTCGACAATATCTGAGACAATCAGAGATGGGAAGCTATTTTTTATGCAGTGAAATTTGACAAGGTAAATTAAAGGAAATGTAGAGATACATAGTCTGATTTGATATACTTTATATTCTTAATTTTACCACGGTCTCTATGTTTATTTTTGTAAACATCAGCTGAGCAACATTTTTATCTTTCCAAAGGTTTTTCTAAACACAGTGGGTTTATCATGGTATAAAGGTTATCGCATCGACACAGCAGCTGGGACAATGAAGTGTCCATCCAATTTTGGAATTGATAATTTTGAATGAATAAATATAGAAATTTGTAAAAATTGTTGAAATTGCATACCATAAAAACCCCCGATTTGTGTCGTATAAGAAAACAACAAACAAACATTTTTTACTGGCTTAAGTCAATGGCTGGCTTAGTCATTAAAGAAAAATATAGTTTAAGGTTGATTAAGATATGGTAAGCATAAGCATTTTGGTATCATGGATAGGCATGTCAAATTATAAGGGAAAATGACGGCAGAATTCGAGTGCGCGTCTGACATCCCTCTATGATATGCATGGTAGAAGAATACAAGTAGATGCATCTACGCTTGGGAACATTGATATGTAAAAATTTTGAAAATGTTTTTTGTTTTTTAATGAGTAAATTTTTATAAGTTTTCTTATACGACAGCAAGGTTGTTATGATATGCATTTTCAACAATTTTTAGAAATTGGAATAATTTTTCATTTTAAATTTTGTCCAATCATTGTCCAGCAGCTATGCGATGCTACTACCTGCATTTTTCTACCATAGTTTTGAGGTTTGTTTTAATTGACAGATCGTTTGGTAATCACCTGAGCTGGAATATACTTGGATCATGATTACGTACAAAAAAATGTATGTAGTTGTTGTTACGTTTGTTGCTAATACCTACATTAATTTACCATGGTTTGAGTTCAATAAAACAACTTTGATGTAAACACACCCAAAGACCCATTATGTTAAATGTTGCCTACTTTTAGGCACAAATATTAAAAAGACTAAACGTCATATTTTCGATATGACAAAATCACCGTCGATTATTTTTATCGATAGAAGAAAAACCTCGATAACGCTTTAGCTAGAAAAACACATACGCCCCCAACTCCCCCTAAACAAATTTTTACAACCCCTTAAACGACGACCCAATCGTTGTCTTCCATTTTCGTGTTGTTCGCTTGCAAAAAATTTCTGTTTCATCGATTTGCGTGAAAATGTTGAGAGTTTTCTTTAGTAAAAAGCGATAAAATTTGTGGAAAATTTGGCCAAAAACAAAGTGCAATGTGAAGTGCAACAAGCGCAGCGAGAATTTTAGATGGAGTTAAAATCTGATGCAGAAATATTGTCAACAAAATTTACACGCAGGTCAGAGGTGCGTATCTGGGCACGCAGACGTGACAGACAACGGACTTGCTCCGTGAACAATATAATCGAAAAAATTTTATGTGTTATTTTTCTGTGTCACATTCTAATGAGCAGTGAAAAATGGATGGGTTCCAAAGGCGACGATTGAAAATCACGGAAAAAATTCTAATAAGAATTTGAGAGGAACCCCAATGACAACTGGGGGCAATGATGGTGCGCAGTGGTCTCCTTGGGTTCCATTGAGGCATATAATTTATGGAGTTATGGGTGTGTGTGTGTGCTTGTGTCGTAAGTGTTGAGGTTTTTAATCCTGGCAGATATTGTTATGACCAGCAGGATTCCTTTTTGGTGAAAAATCGAAATTCGTTGTGTATCTATTAAGGAATTTTCTTCATCGTCTATCAGTCTTCTGCTTGCCAACGTTTTTCGTTTCGTTGGAAGTAGGTATGTGTGTGTTGTTTGGTTTGTGTGCCTAGGAGGAGGGGTGTTTTTGTTCTGGAGCACCCCTATATCGTTGTTCATATGTTTGTTTCCATGTTGTAATGACCCCCCTCTCCACCTCTTCTTTTGTTGTTGTACTGTGCATGGGCCATAGTTTGGTATTTTTGTTTCATGAATTTTTGATTGATTTACAAATGTTTGAATGTATAAAAATTCTTTTGATTACACAAACAAAATATTTTGGTTTTCTTTTTGTTGTTTTCTTTGGCATTCTTCTTCTTCTCGTGTTGTTTTGCAATTCTCCCTTTTCTTTTGGGCGAATTCGTGCCGTTTTTAGTTACATTAGATAATAAGTACATAAATCTGTTTGTATACAACACACTCTGGCACCGATGGAGATGATGATGATGAAAAATTCAAATGCCTCAATTCCATGGCCAAATGAATTTTAGTAAAATTTTGTTTCCAATTAGAATGCCTTGATTCCATTGCCCAATGCATTTTGGCACAATTTCGATTCCAATTGAACAGCTTTCAAATATCTAACAGTCACCATTTTCGAATTCACTCGTTAATCTCCTCAAAATAACAGCCAAAATAGGAAGCCACGAATCGGCTTACACTTAGTAACTACCGCAGTTGGAATACCATTCCGATGTAAGTAATTTATTTAAACAAATTAATTAACAACTAAAACACAAACAGTTGACGCTCGACCGACCGACCTACCGTCTTCGCCTTTGTATGCTTGATGATTGTGGAGTATACTTTATGCCATAGACCGACCACCTATAGGTGGAATATTATATATGGGTTGATGATGTGAGTTGATGCGCGGCAATTTGCCTTTGCCACCAAATACCGCACATACATCCATTGCGAATGTCCCATTTCTATGCATGCTCAATGCAAGCTCCGTCTCTGTAAAATATATTTGTTGTTCTTCTTGTTGCCGGTGGACAGAACAAGCAACAAGCGGGAAGACAGACAGCGGTAGCAGTGTCAGCGCCGGGCAGGCATTTTGACATGTCAATTCTTAATTTATGAAAAACGTTGCCGCATGTCCAAGCCGTTGTAGGTATTAGTAGTTAGTTATGAAGAACAACAACAATAACATGAGATGCATTGTTGTTTTTATAGTTGATTGTTCTCCACGTTTTCGCTTAATGGTTGGCTTTTTGTACTCATTTGTTTGTTTGTAATTGTTTGACACATGTAAAAGGATCAGCGCTGGCGCTGTTTGTTCCAAACATTGTCGATAGTCACCAGGTTTTTTGTTTCTGGCCAAGAGAAACCCGCCAGACAATAGTTTGATAATAATACGTTAAGATATCTGCCAGTTCTAATTTTTATAAAATTTTTAAATAATTTCAGGTTTCGTATTGGATGATTCTAAAAGGGGAAATCGACAGTCTTTAGTATCCACTTCATTTCCAAGATTGGCCAAGGCAAGCCTTCCAAACCATATTGTGACCAATAAAGGAAGGCCAAAAGTCGGGAGCGACCGTATATGTGATACCCCACACCACTATCCATATTTAGAGCTACCCGTAAACATTTATCTTGGAAAGTTATGTGAAGTAGATCATACCAAATAATACATGGGAGGTATATCCAACTTTCAATCGATTTCCAACAAATTTGATGTATATATATATATATATATATATATATATATATATGGAAGTTATATCTTAATTTGAACCGATCTCGATAAGATATGGTAGAGGAATTTTTGAGTTATAAGAGATGTCTGTTATCAAATATCATTGTTTGGGAGTGCATATTGCGAATTTGAGGGACCAAATCGAATGAAACATACATATATATGAGGACCATTTGAAGTAATTGCTTCAAGACTGAATTCGGTCTTAGGTTCCAAAAGCCACTCCATTTTGGTTGATATTAAGCACTTGGTGAACAATAAATCTGAAATCGGCTAAATATAAATATCTTAGTTGATTTTGGTGAAATTTGAGAGAGGTATTTCTGGGCTGTATCTGATACCAAACAACTACCAATCATTGTTGTGGAGTGCATATTACGAATGTGAGGGACATTGACGCAAAATCGGTTGACAAAGATATATGGGAGCTAAAGCTATATCCATGGTAGAAGAATACAGGTAGATGCATCAACGCTTGGGACATTGGTATGTCAAAACAAATTTAAATGTCTTTACAAATATAAGTAGAAAACATTTTTATATATAAGTAAGATATAAGTAGAAAACATTTTTACGCGACGTCATTCGGAGGTTACTAAAATACGCGTTTTTCAACAACTTTTACAAATTTAAATAGTTTTTCATTCGACATTTCAATTTCAAAATTGGTTTGACCGTTAATTGTCCCAGCAGCTATGTCGATGCGCCTACTTATATTCTTCTACCATAGCTATATCTGAACCGATTATCAGGAAATTTGGAATCGGATAAAGCTGTATAAGGGAGCCATATCCAAATCAGAAACGATTTTGATACAATTTAAGATATATTTCTGGGCTGAATCTCATATCTGGTACCAAATATCATTATTGTGGAGTACGAATATGAGGGACTAAGCGCCAAATCAGATGATACATATATATGGCAGCTATAGCTATATCTGAACGGATTTTTACCAAATTAAGTAAAATTTAATTTAGTTTAAAATTTAATTTATGGTTCCTCCTTGAACAAATGTTTTTTGGAAAATTATATCTCAATCGGACATGCATAAATCGACCCAGAATGTGATTCTATGATGATCTGTACCACAGTGTGGCGTAGGGAAGCGTCTGTTTTATTGTTGATTGCTTTAGATAAAATTTTCGACTTTCTTAATTTTAAACAATTTTCAATTTTTTAGGGGTGTCATGAAGAGGAGCAGACCCCAATTACTCCTCGTCGAGTTTGATTTTAGTTTGACAAATCCATTAGGATGTGCAAAGTTTCTATAACACCTAGCCAGCGGACGAACATGGAGTATTACAAAACAATCGATCGACATCAAATGTCTTGAAACGGATTTCGTCCAAAGAGTGAATAATTTTGGTCGTATCCAGTGATATGTATCTAAGGGATGAGGGTAGCCAGACAAAAAGAAGGGCTATTTTTAGTCGTATTAAATATGTAACTACAGCAGCCATTGGACTGAGAGTAGCAACACAAAACTAGACCGACATTACATGTCCTGAAACTAATTTTATCCCAGAAGGCACTAATATTGGTCGTATCCAATGATATGTATATTCAGCAGCATTTAGTATAGAGAACTCTAGGGTCTCTTTAAAAGAACCTTTTTTTCTTTGGCAATTAGAACGTTAATGGTCTTCTTTAAACGAGCCCTTTCAAAGATCGTCCTTTGGTAAACTGGAAAGAGTATTTTCGTCGTCAGTCCGTTTGCAAGACCTTGGATGGTCGAAGACCCCATTAAACGCTCTTCTAATTTTTGGAATTTCGCAACTCGATCTAAATTTAAAAAAAAAATATTACCATATTTAACAATTTCGAACAAATTCTCTAAAAAAAATTGCTAAAAATTCGGTACTTATAGTTTGAAACGGGTCTATCTCCAATGGCAGGTTATTGTCTATATAAGTCCACGTTCTGTACTTGGAGTTTGTAACGGGTTCCAGAGCATTTTTCTTAAAGGACCATGTTTTCATGAAGCCCCCATATGATTGTACCTCCTGATATTCGGTTTTCTAACGGAATAATCTCAAATTCGGTATATTGCCTATTTATGTCCCCGTTTCAATAGACCCCATTTAACGGTACTTTCCCATATTCGATATTTTTAGAATTTCAGATAAATTTTCCAACGGAATAATCTAAAATTCGGGATTAAGAGTTCAAAATTTGTCCTAATTCCTGTGGCAAAATATTGTCTATACAGGGTGAGATTAAAAACTGCAACAAAATTTAAATTTATTTTTTTTTTTAATTTCATTGAATGAAAAATATCGGGAATAGCATCAAATTTTAGAATAAGTCTAGATTTGTTCGAATTGGTCAGCTTTGGCATGAATTATGGCCTTCAAACGGCCAATGAAACCGTCACACGCTGCTCGAATGTTGTTCCGCGGTATTTTGGCCATTCCCGGCGAAGCGCTTGCTTGAGGTGATCGACACTTTGGTATTTTTTAAGTGCCAACCTTGCTTTCCAAAATACTCCAGACACAATAGTCCAACGGATTGGTATCCGGAGCTTTTGTTCGCCATTCTGAGCTGGAAATAAAGCGAGGGACATCATTTTGTAACCATTCTTGTGCTGAGTCCTGTTGGTACTGAGGTGCTGAGTCCTGTTGGAATGTCCAAGGTCTTCGGCCAAAATGTTTGCGTGCCCAAGGCTTTAATACACCCTCCAGAATATTTTTGCGATGATATTCGGCATTTATTCTGATGCCACAGTCGATTAATACGAGCGGAGAGCGATGGCCATGGCCTGCGCTTGAGTTCTGGTGGCCAACCGGTCAAGCGAAGCAATTCTTTAGATCTTTTGAGTCTATTTTCTTTGTATTGTGGTGTAAGTTATTGCACTTTTTGGAATTTCAATGGCTTTACCCCGAGCTCATTTTTCAATA